CATCTCTCTTATCTTTGGGTAAACTCGACATCCGACTTTTTTAGCCTCTTAGTTTATTTCTCCAACGTGGTTATATTTTGATTCACAAAGATGTTGTTGGTCCCTCCGCTAAAGCCTAGTAATAGGAAGAGTTGAGTGAAGGGTTCCTTGTACTAGCTAGTCTTAATGTTAACGAAGGGATTTATTATTGAGACCATTCACGAATGCAAAAGTGGATTAAATTGATTTATTTTTATGCTCTTAACTTCTATACACGTAATTTAACAAATGCTATTTATCACTTAATATTTTATTTTATCGTTCAAACCAACAAGAGATCTTGCTTATTATTGTTCTCTAAAACTAAACATGCAAACGTCTTTAAGCATCTCATCTTCCCATAATTGTTTTACATCAATGAGTGAAGTGTTTTTGAGATGATGGTGAGAAACACAATTCAGTTAATATCATGTATACAAACAATGTGTACGGATGTACGGGATTTTAGAAGAGTATAGAGAAATTGATTAAAAAAGGGAAAGGGACTTGGGTAAATGAGCATAAATAAATAGAAGGTTGGGAAGAGAGACGCTAAGAGAGAGTGAGAGAAAAGGCATTGAGCGAGAATTATGAAGAGAGAAACAAGTGATGCGAAGAGGGAAAATGCACAAGGGGAGAGAGAGAGAGTGACAAGGAGATAAGATAGTGGGGGTGAGAAAATAGAGTTAGAAAATCAGATGGGGTGATAATAAGATAAAGAGAAAAAAATTAAAGAAAAATCGGTCATCCTATATAATTGAGAGACAATAGTCAAACAATGCAAAAATGAAGTTGGATGTTTTATTGTCAAGCTCTCTAATGCAAATCTAACAAGCAATGTAGAAAACAAAGCACCAAACAAGTAAAAAATTTTAAATGCAAACTAAAAATCATAAATAATTATTCACCATCTTTTATGAAAATTTTAAAAAATAAGTTAAAATTCAATTTTGACGAAAGATTTATGGCTCTAAATGAGAAATTTATACGCGGAAACTTATGCCCACAAAAGTCATGCATATAGGTGGAAATTTTATTTGAAACTCAAAACTTGTTCAATAATCCCTAGAATTTTAACTGACTCATACTCGAAATCAATTCATGTAGACTCAAGGATGGCTGACTCAAAATTAATTTGATCTTATTTGTATGCACGTCTTCATCATATATACACATTCAAAAATATGACATAAGTATACAATATAAAAATATATTTATATTTCATAAATATCTACATACATGTACATATATACCCATATAAAATCCATTTAAGAATTTAGAAAACATTATTTAAAATTATGAGACTTAGCTCAGCTCAACTCAAAAACTAACTCGGAAGTAATCTTTGTTTTTATCTAAAAAAAAACTATTAATTTTTATTTTGAGTTGACGATGGCTCCATCAAACACAAATTAATGTTTGCCTTAAAATTGCACACAATCGAAATCTCATGCAATACATATATTAGCAAATCTAACAAAACTCAATATCAATTTTAACACATAATTAAAAATGACAAGAAGTGGAAAAAATAAAAGAAAGAAAAAGCTTGCCCAAAAACAAAGTTGCGTGCTTAAAGAGATGGCCGCTTCTAAAATTTTAGCTAAAAGAGGGCTTCCTGTCCAATCAATGTCTCATAGCTCACGACCTATAGACTTAGCCATTAAGGAACATCTGGTCTTTGGCCATAACTATAAACATAATGGTGTCATCGCAATCAAGCTAAGAAGCTCATCAAAAGGCACATGTCACATCCTTACTAACATGAGATTTTTGTTTTGTTTTTTTCCGTGAACATATAGATACACTTGATATGATACAAAATTTTTATGAGAATTGCTCAAATTTAAATTTATCATCCTTAGCAAACTACGTGGAGGATATATTAATAAATATTCTAAGCATGAAAATATTATTACTTCGTTTAATTTCAATGTTTTTTTATGGCAAGGGATTTGATTTAAATGGTAAGGAAGAGAGCTCAGAGATCTAACATGGAATTTGAAGCAATTTTTATAAAGAGGATCCCCCTGCTTATGATGAATCTGACGAAGAGACCATCATCCAAGAATATATGTGCCTCAAAGCATGTATAAGATCTTTAGGCTTAAGATATTTTTTCTCCTTTTTAATAAAAGATAAATGAGATATAGGAATACAAATCGAGGAAAAGTAACAAAAGGGCCTACTTTATATATATACCTTTCAAAAAGGTCTTTACAATTTGGGCCTACTTTAGATAATTTTTTTCATTCATATGATATGACGTTTATAACCCCAAGAGTTCTCCTTTGACTGGATTGATTTGGTTCCACCATTCATGATGATTAGCTTTCTTATGGAGAAGTCGAAACTCTTAGACATGGAGAAGAATTTAACAATAATTGAGGTAGAAAAGTCTAAGAAAATAGGTCTGAAATTAGGACCCTAACCTAGAGTTTAGATACCATCTAGAAAATAGAATAATGGCTACAAGCCTGGTTGTTTTGTCATACATTCAAAGAATTTTTATACTTAGAGCTGACTAGATCATTCTAGGAACCTAAACAACTTTACAAAAAGATATAATTACAAGAAAAAAAAATATTTGCTGAGTGATCCTTGAATATGGGCAACCAATTTCCTTTCCTGTTATTTTTGCTAAGAAGCCATGGATCAATGGGACACTAGTTTCCAGTTTTGGTCAGGCCGACAGCTACAGTTCTTCTTCTTCCACACATGGCCTACAAATTCCTCCTACAGTTAATGCCGCAGCTGTCCACCCCTTGTTGATAAAGTCGTCCACATTTCATGTGGGCCTGTCGAACCAACGTGCATTCTTCAACATTGTAATATATGGCAACAAACAAGGTTGAACGTGCGCCTCCATTCACCATAATGATGTGCTTCCTAATTTTAATAGCAAATGTTGAAATTTTTTTTTCTCATAATGAACTAATGATTCGCTAGACAATAAATCGTAACTTAACTTCAAAAATAGCCTCCGAATATAAGAGCGAATATGATGGGGACATCAGAGCTTGAAAAGTTTATCAGAGATGTGGCTGTCGATCTACGGCCACTATTGAGTCGATGTACTTATGAGTCATATTATGTATTTTCTTTATTATTTTGTTATGTTGTATTTGCTTTATTAGTGTTTCCATTTTTACCCTTTACTTAAGGGATGTCGTATGTAAGCCCAGAGGTCATCGTCGTCTTTTTATTTTCTTGAGTCATTTGTACGATGCTATATATAGCCCTCTTGTTTCTTTTCATGTTAATGATTGAATGATAAAAAAATTTCCCCATGTTTGAGTTCTTATGAGAGCTTGAGAGATTGGAGCGAGGTCCCTTGGAGAGAGAATTTAAATCACCCACCAACCTTGGAGAAGGTCGGGCTCATGATTTTTTCTTTTATCGAATTTTCTTTCTCTTCTTCTTCTAGCTGCCAGCCTAAGGTTGCACCAAACCCCTAGGCCATCGGTCACCGAGTTCCCCCCATCTACCCGCCGGCTTCACCCCACCACCTCCCCTTCACCGAAATCCCCATAAGCACCCAACATAGCCGTCAGCCACTCCCACCTCCCCTCTCTTCCCTCCACAACCCAACTCCCCCTTGAATACCTTCCATATGCATCCACTCTTAATTTAGGAAGTTTTAATTTCAAAATTCAAAATTATTTAAATTTGAAATTCTTTCCTAATTTAGGAATTCTATTTTAGGAAAAATTCTAAATTAAACCCCATTTGAATTTCAAATTAATTGGGCATTAATTAAAACTTTTCTAATCTCTAAATCCCAAATTAGCAACCCAAATTATTCCCCACAATCACCTCCCTAGACTATCAAGCCGCCGGCCCCTACCCCTTTAATTCCCATGGATTTATTTCCAAAACTCATCTCCCCCTTTTGGAATTAATTCAAACCTTCAAGCCCCTCTTGGCCGAAATTTCCTAAGCCCCCACACCTCCTTATTACTTTCCAAAATCAAATATTGAGTTTTGGAAACAAAATCCCCTAACCTCCTCTTTCTTGCTGCCGCCCATGCCCCCTCTCTCTTCTTTAATTATTCCCAAACATAGGGATTAATTGGAAGCATTGTATGGAAACCCTTTTCCCTTTACCAATTTGGATCCAAATAAAATCTCTCCCCCTCCTCTCTTGGCCGGCCACCCCACCCTCCTCTCCACTTCAATTTGAGAGAAACTTCTCTCTCTAGCGGAGCTTCGAAGGATTGACATTGATCTTTGATCTACACACCCTCCTTCTAAAGCCAATGAATGGCCGATCTGGAGCTTAACCATGGGTTTGCTTACGACGAGCAAGGATACGTTAATATCCTACACTCCACCTTCTTCGACTTCAATCCGGAAGTTGACTGTTCCATCGAAGAGTACGTGGACTGTATTATTTTCACGCTATCGGAAGCCATCGACGATCAACTTATCGGCGCCCAATGGCAAATCGTCTACAAACCTACCCAAAGGTGATCTTCTTCCCCTTTTCATTTATTTTCCTAATCCCTTAATCTTGTAGGTGGTGCCAGTCACAAGGAGACATATTTTGCCTTCTACTTAAAGCTTAGTAAACGTAAGATTGAGTGCACCTTCTATGTTACTATCTTATTGTTAGACTAGGGATTTTATTGAAAGTTATTACATTTGCTTACTATTGAGATTCTAATTTATTTGATAATTCAAGCGTTTGGCAAGTGGCTTTGCCTTAACGTAGGTACCCCTCTCTTGTTTTCTTTCGTCGTTTTGATTGCTAAAAGTTCTAATCTTAATTGTTTTATTCAAGAGATCGTGCAAATTCTTATCGCATGCAATTAAAACATTCTAGTCCTGCATCAGAATACCCATTGTGAAAAGTTAGCAGATTAAGAAAAGGATAAATGAGACCAATATCACCTGAATAATTAGACAATTAAAATAAAAGTAACTGTGCAATAAGAACAGATAATTACAAAGATGATTATTTGAAGAAGAAATTGAGCTACCTTGATATAGTGTCCTTCATAAAGCTTGGTTTCAACCCCGCTTTCGAAGGGTAGAGTGGATATGGGCGTTTGTATATGTGTGCATTTTGTTCTTCCTCCTCTTTGAGCACGTCAATGTAATACTCCCGCATTTCATAATGATCTTCACAACGCATTTTTCTGACCTGCTAAACATACAATGTGAGTAAGCTAAGTTTTTTAAAACACAACAGCTAATAGGTTCATTTAATCCACAGTGGGACACAATATTATGTCATACTAAAGATTTATAGAAATAATATGACCATGTTAAATAGTTATTAAGATCACAAAAGGGAACTGCCTTATACCATCAGACCTAATAAAAATACAAACAGTAATATATTAGAGTTCAGAGGGCTGAATTGATTCAAGTGATGTGTAGCTTACACCAAACCCGACCCAATTAAAATGAGAGGATTCATAATCAGATCCATCCCATAATGTTAAAAGCCGCTTTTTTGTGACACCCTAGAAATGGAGAGGAAATCTACTAAAATTCGGATCTACCCCACTAAGTTTTGGCTCCCATGCAGACGTCACAAAGCAATACAAATCAAATCTAGTTGAAATAGGCATGTTCATCAAACACAAAATTACACGAAAATAATTGAACATTGTAACGTCGCGCATATGTCAGTCAAATACTCAAATGTCATATGTTTGCAAAATGAACTGCGCCAATAGGTGTGTAACATCAAAATATTATCGTGAAAAGAGGCCCATAATGGCTTATCCACCACATGAAAGCAAACACAAATTTGCCTGTTCACGAGGTGAAGAAATACAATTCGATATGTAAGAAACTTAAATGCTTCAATGTAAACCAGCTCACGCTCTCATGAATCCAGCGATTAAAATAGGAACAAAAGAAGCCCTCTTGTGGATGACGGTAGATTATAGAGATTGATTGGAAAGTTGATTTACCTCATATCCAACCAAATGTTAATTTCTTTATAAGCATGGCAAGTAATTTCATCATTAAGGAACACTTAAGGGGTTGTATGTTGAATTTTCTAATATATAAAGGCGAGTCGTTGATAGTTAAGAAGACTTCAAATACAGCATTAAAGTATTTAATGATATTGATTGGGATGAATTAGCAATAGACTGAACATCAACAACTGAGCGTTATCCTCATGTGTGGGGGAACTTAGTTGCTTGGCGAAGCACGAAAAAAATCTGTCAAGCAGCACGAAACGCCTAGTCAAGCAACATGAAAGATAGATTTCGAGTTACATTCCATAGCATATATGAAGGTATGTGATAGGAAATACTTGAGTTCGCAAGTAACCCTAAGGGAATACTTGAGTTCGCAAGCACACCTACCACTAATTGGAAGAAAACAGCGGGAATAAAGTAAAATCTGGGTGAAATCAGCCCCAAAACAGTGGATTGCAACAAGGAAAATAAAACAAAACTAACACAAAGCAAGATACAAGTGAACCTCTATTTGAGAGGAGGATCGTTCTCTCCCAATATCTAGACGCAAGGTCTAAAGCCCTCAAACCTCAAAAGACTCCAAGAGAAACTCAAATCTAAGCATACCTACCTTAGCCCCTTCATGCCCTTTAAATAGCCCTCTACACCTCCTTAAAACTCCACCTCCTTAAAAACTTCCTAATATAAAATATTATTTAATTAATACAAAAGATATCAAATCTTTTTATTAATTAAATCTACCTCATTAAAAACTTCATAATATAAGATATTATTTAATTAATACAAAAGATAACAAATCTTTTAATTAATTAAATCCACTTTCCTAATATAAACTAATTTCAAAATTCCTTCCCCTTTCTCCTATTGCCGCCTCAAGGGGGGCCACAAGCTGGGCGGAAGCCTCTTATAGAACTGGACTGGCCCCTCCTGGTCCAGTTTGGTTGGTTCCGTAACAGTGTCTGAAGAATTCTCAATCATATTGGATTACATTAATGTCAATATTATTTTTTTTATTTTTTTTATTGATGATGAAATTTTTTCAAAAGTGCATTCAAATCGAGATACATAGATGTATGCTATTTTTTAGATGTTGTAGTTTTAATTATCAAAATGTTCGTTATAATAAATAGAAAGAACAACATCGAAAATATTCACAAGATTATGACTTATGGTTGGCAGAATCTATATTAAGTATGTGATATGTAATTTATGCATTGTTGTTGGTGTGAAATTTGTAATTATGAGCCAACACTAAAAATGTCAAATTTCAAATATACTCAAAGTGAACTAGAAGGTGATTTCCTAATGCACTTCCAAAATACATTGCATTTCAAATCTATCTCTCCAAATGCACAAAATTTCAAAACCCATGTGTTTACTTTAGCTTCAGAATGTAGCCAACCAAATAGCCCCTAAAAGTAATTAATTAAATAAATTGGAACACTTAAGGGGTTGTATGTTGAATTTTCTAATATATAAAGGCGAGTCGTTGATAGTTAAGAAGACTTCAAATACAGCATTAAAGTATTTAATGATATTGATTGGGATGAATTAGCAATAGACTGAACATCAACAACTGAGCGTTATCCTCATGTGTGGGGGAACTTAGTTGCTTGGCGAAGCACGAAAAAAATCTGTCAAGCAGCACGAAACGCCTAGTCAAGCAACATGAAAGATAGATTTCGAGTTACATTCCATAGCATATATGAAGGTATGTGATAGGAAATACTTGAGTTCGCAAGTAACCCTAAGGGAATACTTGAGTTCGCAAGCACACCTACCACTAATTGGAAGAAAACAGCGGGAATAAAGTAAAATCTGGGCGAAATCAGCCCCAAAACAGTGGATTGCAACAAGGAAAATAAAACAAAACTAACACAAAGCAAGATACAAGTGATCCTCTATTTGAGAGGAGGATCGTTCTCTCCCAATATCTAGACGCAAGGTCTAAAGCCCTCAAACCTCAAAAGACTCCAAGAGAAACTCAAATCTAAGCATACCTACCTTAGCCCCTTCATGCCCTTTAAATAGCCCTCTTCACCTCCTTAAAACTCCACCTCTTTAAAAACTTCCTAATATAAAATATTATTTAATTAATACAAAAGATATCAAATCTTTTTATTAATTAAATCTACCTCATTAAAAACTTTATAATATAAGATATTATTTAATTAATACAAAAGATATCAAATCTTTTAATTAATTAAATCGACTTTCCTAATATAAACTAATTTCAAAATTCATTCCTTTCTCTCCTATTGCCGCCTCAAGGGGGGCCCACAAGCTAGGCGGAAACACATCAAGGAGGCGGCTTAGCCCGCCTCTTGTAGAATTGGACCGGCCCCTCCTGGGCTGGTTTGGTTGGTTCCGTAACAGTATGTGACTAAAGTTACTTGAGAAGCTAAAAATCAACTAAGAAATCTATTAAGATGTTCTATAATATTATACCTACATAAGCACCGCAAAGAATATTGCTTATCAAGAAAGAATGGAACTTGTAGTTATTTCATCAAAGATGAAACCATAGGAAGGAAATCTGAAGTTCATACACAGCACGAAACACTTTGAAATTTTGAATTGCTAACTGAATATGATCAACATCTTAAAACTAACCTAAGGAAGAGTGAATATTCCCCCCTCCTTTTTTTCTTTCCTTCCTTGTATCAAAGAATCTGAAAATATCTTCCAATATATAATGGATTTATCATTTCAACGGAGAATTTTGGGCAGTTAATTCAAATCTCTTTCCCTTTATTCACTTCTGTTTTTCATTTATGGATTCAATTGTAATCGAGGCCCAACAAGATTCTTGCAAGAGAACACGTGTTAGAGCAGCGAAGTAAAAAACTCCCTATCAGGTGCCACATAAGGGAGGAGGGATGTTCTGACATATGGACCTCTTCCTTTCATCTACATCTTATCTACATCTTATTGTAGCATATGATGATCTATCATGAGCTACTCGTCAATACGTGAGACAGTTCCAATGGAAGATTAAAACCTTTTTTTTAATGTCAAGTACATAAGGCAACCCAGCCAGCCCCTTGACTATCCTAGCTTCTACCTAATCGGAGAAAAGAAAAGACCAGCTAGCAAAGGAATTTCTATCCTAAAGCAGTATATAGCTTCAGGTTTCAGACATTCCAAATTAGATAAAAGAAAAACCTCCAACTTTCTTCCAAATTTACCATGTTTCAAAAAGATTTTAAGTATTTTTCTTCTCATCAACTTTTTTCTAAGTAAAAGGCTGTTCAATCAGCATGAAACATCTAATATTTATCACCAAATTCTTATTAAAATTAGTTGAGCCAAAAATAAAAAATTCGTAGTTCTTTATATAGTCCATGTTCTCTACTAAAAACAATTACCTGTTTTAATGCCTTTTTATTCATAGGACAAAGTCTATAGTATTAAATGATATCCTAAGAGAGCAAAATAAATAAATAAAAAGAAAAGTTGATAGCAAAGTTGCAAACCTTAAAATTTTATTTCCATTAAGATGCCTAGGAAAATATTTAAATACGCTTTAACTAGTAATTACATTCACAGACATGAGATCGATGCAAATACATTAATAAAGAGATTTTTGAAACCAAATGACTTATAAAAATCAAGCAGTTTAGAATTCTTTCACATTTATTTGCTTTTTTTTCACTTTTCGAACCATTCTTAGAACCATTAATCATTCCGATTCAAAAGAAAAAAAGAAGAAACAACACGGAGAAATGGAGAAATATTTTGTTAAAAAAATACAGCAACAATATCAACTCTTTTATCTCACTGACACGTGAGCAAATGCATTGACATCTCTTCTAAAGCCTCAAATCTATTCCTACTCAGAAAATAATAATATTCTAATATTTGTATACAGGACATAATTAATTGGCTAAACTGGATGTCTAAGTATACATATTTAAAGTGATCTATCAATCTTAAACACAATCAAATAAATTTACAGTTCCATGTGCATAAAGGTAATAAACGTTTATGGAAGGAAAATACCGTGCCAGAATAAAAATGAAGATTGATGATAAAAACACTCACCCACCTTGCCACAGACATATACATGAGCCCCCAATTCATACTTAGACTGGAGACTTCTCAGAAAAGGTTGGTAAGTAAAACGAACACCGCTGAAAAACTTCTTCAAATGTAAATAAATGTTCTTCTTACTGATCCCATGGTCATCAAAAGCTTCACAACTAACTACGACATCAAGAAATGATAAAGATGAACTAGCTCTAAGTGCCCTGAGAAAACAAAGAGAAGCATTATGCATTAGAAGAGACCATGTTTCTAGAATTCAGAAAATATTATTAACAAAATATGAAACAAAACCATCAAACTTTTACCCAATTGAACGCCGTACAATTAAAAAAGGAGTGCATTATCATCGGACAATTTATTACAGCAAACCTGAAGCTACTAAGGAGATCATTAAGGGGTGTAAGTGAGCATAACCGGCTCGCAAGCTGGCTCGAGCTCGACTCGTTAACGAGCTCGAGAGCCGAGCTTATCGAGGAAAGAGCTCGAGTTCAAGTTTGATGAGGCTCGGCTCGTGAGCCGGCTCAAATCACTATTTATATTTTTTAATAATTTATATTTTATTTATTAGAGTTTGCCGTTAAATCTTTTTAGCAAATCCCGTCCACTATTTCGCAAATCCCAGCTAATGTTTCACAAGTTCCGCTCCCGTCCGTTGTTTCACAATTCAAGGTGGAAAAATGAGACAACTGCGGTGTCACACCCCAATTTAACCCCTCTACTATCAAACTATAGTGTAATAGAGAAGGAGAATATGAATAGAACGTCTTTTTACTTCCATTTTGAAACATTGATATCATAATTAGATAAGTAAAACGTAGTCTATTCAAACTATCCTAACACAACTAATCCTAACACATATATGACTTAAATCACTTGCATTTGTACTATCATTCATTTTTAATATAATCACAATCACTAGTATCTAGAGAAACAACAATCTATATAATTGGAATCAACTACAAATGAATCAGTTGGGTATCTCACCTCACTTAGAATTGGCTCTTCTAGGTCCTATTTTCTTCTTTTATACACCACCTAAATACATTGTTTTCATTTACACAAATGCTTATAAATAAATAAAACAAGCACTAAGAATATCCTACAAATTACCTCAATTGAATTCCTCATTCAACCCAATTTCTTTTCTCCGCAAAATTCCCTCCCTACTTCTTTCCCTTTCCTTCCCTGTTTTTTCTTGCTAAATTTACATTCAGTATTCAGAATTCAATTACAAAAATTCACTACTGTTGTATTCCTATATTAAGAAATAGTTTATGCAGAATTCAAATTCAAAAATTCAACATTCTCCATTCTCTCTACCTCAATTGAATTCCTCCTCATCCACCCGACCATGCTCGTGAGAACGGAAGACGACCAAATCGTCGAGACTCGCAAGCGGCTCAAGCTCGTTTACAGTGGGATGAGCTCGAGTTCGAGCTCATCTTTTGAGCTCGAATCGAGATCGAGCTCGAGTTCGAGCCGGCTTTCTGACTAACGAGCCGAGCTTGATAATGTCATTACTCGACTCGGCTCAACTCGTTTACACCCCTAAGGTCATTCAAAACTATAACAACATCAAATGACAAATTTCACCAAGACAAAGGACTCCTTGAAGGTATGAAAATTCTTGTGTTAAGCAAAGAAGAGGATAAAATATATCTGCCAACAACTAGTTTCATAGCCTTGAGTGAAGTTCTCAAAAACATTAAGTTACTAAAGTTGAGTGAATCTGATGCCTATCAGTTTTTAAAAAAAAAAATCTGAAGATTCAATTACATAATGTAAGGAAAAAAGATAAAAAACAAGGGATTAATCATTTCATGGAGCATTTATTCACAAACAAGCATGATTACGCCAATCCTATAAACTACTTCTCTATTATCATGTGATTACAACGGTGGAGCAAGGCCAAATAAGAAAACACAAAGTAGTTGCTCGCAATAGCTATTTGAATAGTAAAAATATATTCTGATAAATAATCCTCCTACGTCCAAACGAAACCTCATGTATAGCCTTTGAGCATCAAGTTGCTGACGCTGGTGAATATTCTCTTGCCACTGTGGTGAAATTTGTTCATTTAAAAAGTAATAAAGTTAATTAAAACAATGATGCCAGATCACTCGAATGAAAAGAAATGTTAGTAACTCCATTTACCTAAGCTCCTTAAAAATTAACTAAAAATATCAGCCATAGTAGATTACAGAATCCAGTATTATTTAAAAATTAACTAGTTGATGTTGCAAACTAGTTCTCAGAAAATTCACCTCTTAACTGAACATTTAGGCCTCTCCTCAAAAATAGAACGGAGCACTTACATATATTGAACACAATAATAAATTCTCAAAACGATAAACAGCAACTATTAAATCAAGATATGAGTGACTTAGTTCTGAATGACTTACCTGGAAGCAGATACTGTCCCGACAAAGATTTGATAGGCCCCATCATCTATTTTACCTGGAGCATTTTGCAGGTCTGCATAGGTTCGAGGAAAATGATGTAGCAGCTTCCGCACCTATGGGAACCAAAAGCAGAATCAAATATTAGAAAAATTGCAGATTAAAAAGTAGCCAAGAATTTTCATTTACAATCAAGTGAAACAATATCCAACCGTGTGGAAACCACGTTCTTCAAGCCGACGGCACTGTCTACGGGTTGTATCTGGTATAAACCTAACAGCAGAATCCAAAATTGACTCGAGATATACCTCAGTATTTAGCGGTTTAGATTCTGCAATTACAGAACTTTCATTGTCACTAAACTTCTTAAATAATTCTGTTCTAGTGTCTGCATCTAATGCTACAGAATCATGGAATAATATGGAGCAGGATTGCTCATTAGAATGTATGCTTGGTAGCTGAGGTCTAAGGAAATGGCATGCATCACTATATTCATTAGCTTCTTGCGCTCGTGTCCTAGTTGCAGAATCTGGGAAGTATCTACTAGTTTCAGATATTAAAAGTCTCAATTGGCTATTTTTCCATTGAACCTCGTCATACAGTTCAATGCGCGATGAATCCCCAACGGTAATGCAAGGAAATCTTGCTGTGGCTAATGCAAAACCAAATTCTTCATTCAGGTCATTCATATCAGCAGATTCTTCCCGTTCTCTTTCTTCCTCGATAAAGTCTTCAATGTTGTTATAACCTGACAAAGCTGAAACCTATAAAAAATTTGACATTTTTCAGGTGCAGGTCAGCTGAAATGTTATTCAAGTCCAAAAAAAGAAAAGCATGTAGTTTATTACATAGAACAAACCATTAGCTAAAAAGCAACTCACAAGCTAACTAGGGAAAAAAAATATGGCAGAAGTCAACAAGGTTATCTTGACATATGATATATTAATATAACAATCAAATTCAAAAAAAAAATTTTAAGGTTTTAAAAATAGCTAGGAAGTAGTCATCAATTGGGAGAACCTGTATAAAATTCTTGCATGGGTTTGCGTGATGATCTTTTTTTATGTTTTTTATTATTTAATTTTTTCGCTCTCTATGTTTGCATAGATTTCATCTATTTGCTAACATCCAAGTCATGAAATAAAGAGTATGAAAGACAAACCAAGTTATCCATTCAAGTAACTCAATAGAACGAACACAAATTAGTGAGGCTTGTGCCTGCATACTGGATTTGCCCACGTTTAAGTGGTTAGCTTCATCAGTTTTATGGCTGGATTAAATTTAAGCAACTGAGTGATAAATTTGGACTTATCATATTGAAACTATCAAGCCCATAACTTGAGATTTTTCAAACTTACACATTGGATTTATTACCTTTTATTCTACTATTTAGTAATGCTTATCTGCTATAGCTATTTTTGTGGTGGTTCTTATTCCTCCCAATTCAATATTATTGAAAATTCCTAGTAGTGTGGGGGCTTAGACTTCTATTTGATATTGTTGAATGAAATTCTTATAGCATTATTTCGAGTGGCGTAACTTTGATTTGGCTTCTATCCCTATTGGCCCTTGTAGGTGATGCTTCGTTGTTTAAAGCAACCTAACTTTGTATCAATGATGGCAGTGATAGTGGCGATGAAAGTGGTTACCAAAGCATGCATATTTTAGTTTTTTTTTTATTATTATTGTAATTTGAATATTATAGTTGTTTTTTTTGTTTTTTTATGCTATCCAATGATGGAGAACAACCAATGATCATGAGTAGGTAGTGCTTGGGCATGGCAAGCCTTGGGTGTGCTAGCTTCTTGGGTTCTTTTAGTCTTTCGGTTGCTTGTTGCTTCTCGGGTTGGGCCTTGGCTGCTTTGGTTTATAGCTGAATTTTTAGGAGCTACTTTGCTCTAGCTCATTAATGCTTGAGCTAATGTTTTAGCTCATTATTTGGAGGATTAATTGCACTTATTAGCTCATTAAGTGGAGTGGTTTCTTGCCTCTTTCCTTTCACTGTGTCTCTTGGGTTCTTACCTCCTGGCTCTCCTTCCCATGGGCTGTTCCGATCCCCCTGCTCTGTCCCAATTCCCTGGGTGCCTGCTCCTTTCCCGTGGCTGCTTTTATCTGGTCCCTATGTTTCCTTTTCGGGTGTTGTTCTGTTTTTCCTGCTGGCCTTCCTCTTCCCCTTACCCGATTGGTTCGGTTGGAAGTGAAAATTGGCTATTTGGATGCCCCTTTTCTCTTATAAATTAAAGATGTATTTGTCATGAGGAGGTTGTTGATTATCTTGAGAAAAGTCTCTAAAAACCTAAGGGTTTCTTCTCCTTTCTTGGAAAAGCTTGAGAGCTTGTTCCAATTCTCTCTTCCTCCTCTCTATTTCGTCTTGGCTTCTAACCTCTTCTTCTCTCTGCAAGTTCCACTCCACTTGTATCATTCTTTTTGAGCATTTGGAAGATGTTTGTTGGCTGATTTGGGGACATTTGCTGGAGGAGTTTGGTTGGACGTTGGACCTTGTTGATGTGGTGGACCCTTGGTTTGCAAACCCTAAGCACTTATCTTATTTTACCTACTTTTCATTGCATGTGAGAAAACCGCTTGTCGATTGTTCTGAGGATAGTGTTTTTATTTTTAAATTTTGTTTTGTTTGTTCGACTTTGGATTGTTTTTTGTGTTTTGTTCGGATGTCAGTTTTTCTAGATTGAATCGAGTTTGTTCTAGTTGTCCTAGTGCTCTTCTATTGGCTCTTTCTTTCTAGTTTGCCTGCATCATTTACTATTTCGATATTTTTAATAATACTTATTTTAAATTTTAAATTAAACAAAGGAGTGGCAACTAGTTGTGATTTAAATATCATAAACATCAACTACTGTGATATGTAAAAGCAGCTTTTATTTAATAAATTTTTAATTTTTTGCATTTAATCTAATGCGTACCTACGAAATGTGGTATTTCTTCGAGTTCAATGCAAATGGAATAAACAACCTCCAAGGACATGTTCAATACTTTCACTTTATTTTATAAAATTAAATTTTTTGTTATATTATATAACAAAAATAAAGAATTGTATTGCATTAAGTTGTGAAAATTCTACACTCCCCACTAGATACAACTAGCGAATCCCCAGCATGCAACACACGCCAATACTGGCTACAACTTCTACATGCCTAACTGCATTCCCGGCAAGAGCACCAGCTGAATCCATCACTCAACAACACATTGCCTAATTAACATCACAGCTAAGCAATTTGCCTACTAGGTACACCTGCTTTGTCGGATTTAACTCCTAGCTAAGCAATGTGCATGGTCCTATCTCTCCATATGCAATCCTTCAAGTTGTTGTGAAGAATGAATTTATTTTTCTCATATTTTTTAACATGGCATCGAAGACACTTTATCTTCATCCTTCTTTATTTTCTTTCATATTTCTCCAGTCCATACTTCTCTACCATTTCACATCCTCTCAAAAATCTAAGTATTCTCATCGTTCTTCTAAGGATTTTTTCTTTAAACCATGATGATTGTTAAACATGAAATAGCCTTGGAAAAAATATCCTCCTTTGGAGCTGCCACGTGCCCTGAATCAAAACTTCATGACAACATTTAACATCCATAAATCCTTCTCCAAGTCTTTGATTATCCAATTTAAAATAAAATATTCTACATGAAACACAGCATCGATGTGATTGTCCAAAAATGTGTACCCTCAAATGCCTTCAATGTCTAAAACGAAAATCCATAATCTTGGATCGTGAGCTCTAGGGCCTCTAATCATATAATATATGATGCCTCCTTATTTTAGACCTTTCATCCATATTTAAAGAGCAAAATAGTCAGAATAGTTGAGATTGCAAGTGATTGGGACTGGGATTATAAATGTTACTAATTCTGAAATTCGTAACTTGGTTATTTTGGTCCATAAGCTTTCTTATAGTTTATTATTAATCAGTAAAATTAACAAAAAAAAATGAATAGTACCACTAATTTTGAAGCATTTTAGCCTTATAATTTCTTATTTTCTTCCTACTCCTTGTGAATTTAAGAATATATATTCAAGAAGTACAACCAAAAAGCAAAGGAAAATGCTAGTCTTTAGCTCCTAAATCATGAAAAAAATCGTACAAGCAAGAGAAAAATACTCGATATGTATCTTCTTCTAATAAAAGCACAATAATGTTGATGCATTTTAACTTTGGTCATGTAAATTTCAAATACCTAAGAAAATTACTCTCATCACTTTTCATCAACACAAATCATCAATACAAATCCTGAAACGTTTCATTATGAAACTTGTCAATCATCTAAACACACTAGAACTTCATGCCCAAGTCATCCTTATAAAGCCTACCAATCTTTTGTAATTGGAGGTGTAACTAAGTCGAGCCGATAGATGAGTTGGCTGGGGTTTTATTCGATAAATGGCTAATGAGCCAAGCTCAATAAGCTAATGAACCAATCTTAAGCTAGTCCCATCTTAACTCATTAGCTCGTAAGCCAACTCATTTAAAAAACATTATTATAATATACACTTTATAAATATTAAATTCAATGGATTTAGTATAAAGATGTTAAAAAATCTTTATATATCTCTTCCTTATTTCAGGTACTTTCTTATTATTTGTCATGTAATTTCTTATTTTTTTACCATGTTATTATAATAATTATTTGAATAAGAATAAACATCATGATTTCATATTAAATGAGCAAGTTTGTGAGCCAAGTTAAACTCATAGAATTAAGCTAAAGCTCAAGCTCGAACTAAATTAATTAATCAAGCTCAAGGTCAAATCAAGGGAGGCTCAAGTCAAGGGTTGCTCAATCAATTATGATCATCAGTAACATTCCAAAATATTATTGGGGAGTTGTCTTTACTGTTGCATATATCATTAATCGTATATATCATTAATCGTATGTTGTTAATAATCCTAAATTTCAAAACCTCTTATAAACCTCTCACCGAAACATATCCCAGATGTAGATATATCTCCACAATTCCAGTCAAGGTGCTCCTTCCAACAAAGCCTAGTTGCATTCCAACAAGTTCGCCAACTGTTTCCATCAACCCATAACTTCTCCGCCTGATTAACATTCCAACTCAGCAATCCTCCAACTAGGGGCAGCTCCTCTGTCAGATTTAAGTCCAAGCTTAGCAATCCACAAGGTCCTAGCTTTCCATAGGCAAATTTCCAAGCCTATGTACAGAAAGAACCTATTTCTAAACTTAATGTCAAATGGAGGTAAATTGTTTTCCCTTTATCATGTCACTGGTCATGATCCTATTTACTTAACTAGCCTCCTTTCAATTCTACATTGCCTGTATCTCCTATAAATTATATGCGTCTTCTGTTTTGTGAATAAGAAAAGTATCTAATATCCTTCTCCCGTAGTTTTCAGCAACTATAAAATAAAGACTATTTGATAAAATTAATATTAATATTATTCAAATATTGAAATTTTTTTACTTAAATTTGCTGTGACCCTAAAAGATGATGATTAAATAATAAAAATATCTTGCCATAAACTTTACATAAACTAATTCATTGTCCTATTTCTTTATTAGAATACTTTTCTTCACATAAGTGATTCCTTTATTTATTTTTTTTCTTCCTAGTTGTCACTGGCAATGCAAGAGTACTGAATTTGGCCAAATTTGCTACAACTGAATTTTCTTTTGCGTTATAAGAAATTCAATAACATGCAGAATTTTATTTTAATATCTGATTGATTTTGTTGAAGTTATCAACCATTGTATTACCATTTAGTTTTGGATTCTTGATATTTTTCATATTTGCACCTAAATTAGCAAATTCTTATGTAATTAGTAATCTCTGATTTGTGAATCATCATTTCTTTTATGTGATATGTATTCATTGCATCATTCCAATTGTATTACTAATCCTAAACCCTTAAACATCCTGCATCACAAAGGAATTTTGATTTTTTTTTTAAACAAAGGAATTTTGATTCTATTCCACTAATGTAGTAATCTCCTAGTAGTCACTTTCTTAGATAAGAAGCTATCTATAAAAGAAAATGTACCTCTTTAAGTATGTCTACATTGTAACCGTAAGGGAAATGAATTGTTCACGGGATAATATGGAACCCTTTTATCACAATGATATCTACAAAATAATTTATGCAATTTTAAGTTGAACTGATGAGGACATCAGATTTCGACACGTGTACCATCGAAGAAATCGTAGATCGACAGATACGATTCAAAGTCTATATCTTTGATTTATTTTCAAGTATTTTTCCATTTAATATTTTCAGTTTACTAGTTTACCCCTAAGGGTATTGAGTCATTCTTGTAGCCCTTGGGGCATATGAGTCTTTGTGCTTGTCTTTTGTTGAGACATATATATAGAGGTCCTTATCTTTGTATGAGGTTAATGTTGAATCAATAAAATTTTCAGATTTTGAGTTCTTGCTTGTGAGAGCTTGAGAGGTGAGGAGTAGCCTAGGAGAGGCTCAAAGAAATACCCAACAGCCCCCTTTGTGGGAGCTCTTGGTTCCTATCTTCTTCCTCTTCCAATTCTTTTCTTTCTCCCATAGCCGCCGACTCCCCAACCAGCCACCACATAGCCAGCCAGCCACCCGCTCCTCCCCCTTTCGTTAGCCCCTATACCCACCCCTCCACCTACCGTCCGGCCCACTTCCTCCACCGCCGCCCGCCGAACCCCATGTCCGAAGCCGCCGGCCACCCATAAAACCCCACCCACCGGCCATCTAAAATTCATCCTTAGAATTTGAGTTTCAAATTCAAATAGGCTTTCAATACTTTCCTAATTCGTTCATTTGTCATTTATGAAGTTTCATATTTGAAATTCAATTTGAAATTTGAATTTTAAATCCCTCCTTAAATGACAAAACCCAATAGGGAGACTCTTTATAATTGGGTTAATTTGAATTTCAAATTGGCCTTTCCCCTTTAATGAAAATCTGAAATTAAACTTCAGATTTTCCCTCTCATCCCCTTGCCCCCAAGCTACTTGTTTCAACCCAAAGAACCCCAACCCTAGCCGCCCCCTCACCCTCCCAAGTCTTCTCCCATCATCCCCTCACCTTCTCCTCACCAATCTCACGAAAGCTCCTCCCAACCGTCACCACCACCATGCATGGCCGATCCGGAAGTCGACCATGGTTTCTTGTTTGATGATCAAGGACGAACCAACATCCTTGAGTCTCCTTTCTTGGACGTGAACCTAGACGTGGACTCCTCTGTGGAGGATTACTTAAAGCGCATCCTTTTACGTTAGTGCCTTCCATCGATGAGCATATTCCTCCCAGATGTTGGATACTCACTAGTCATCCCGTGGACTCCCCGCCGCCGGCTACTTTTCCAAAGGACTATACCTTGGGGACCATTTGTCTCCTAGTGGCGTTGTTCGGTTTGCTCTCAATCTTCCTCCATTAAAGCCCCACTGTCAAGAGCGTGAGTGAGGGACCCAAGGTGAAGAGTTCTATTTGTTAACCGTGGATTATTGTTTCTCGCCATAACATTACTCTCTATTTATATGTTGTTAATTTGATATTGTCCCATTAATCTAATTGTAACTACAAGCCTTGTTTAGTCTCTAATTGATAACTCCGAGAACCTAACTTGGGTAAGCACTAAATTTATAATTAGCAAAGTTTTAATAATCTAATATTAATATTCCCAAGCAGTTCTTGTTCCTTTGCATGGTTTTACATCATGAACAAATGCAACCTACATACCATTTTCAGAAATTTCAACCTGTCTGAAATCCACAGTTCCCTATGCCCGCTCACTTCATCTAGCAACTTCTGAGTAGACATGTGATTTGATTGAAAATGCCGGTTTAAAAACCTAAAAAATAGGAAGTTGCAGAACCTGTGAAGAGCGTCATTATCATTAGAAGTAAAAAAGCTTTTAATACTGTGACACAGATAAGGCAGAAGAACAGTACCTCAAAGTCCTGCCAAATGTGAACCAAAACCTGCGCTTCAGATCAGAAGGTATTGCATTTGTTAAGTAACTTCTGTGAAAACACTAAAAGGGAAGCAAAAAAAGAATTTCAGCATCAAGAATTATTGGACAAAGCATATCTGAAACATTGTCGCTTTGCCTGACAAGAGAGGAGATAGGACGAGGTGTAGTAGGGAATAGGATTCTATCCTTATACTACCTGCGTTCTGTTTAAAGAAACAAAAACACCTACAACACGTTAAAGAAGATTCAGTCTACCTAAAAGGACAAAACCAACCTAGAAAATAGGTTGGTTGCATACGCTACTAATCGTGTGCATCAAAGTTTATTCTTCAGTAGAAGCACCTAACATGCTTCAATGACTAAAAAAACAAGCTAAAAGAGGTCATGAACTTTTCAGTACAAAGGATATTAATTTTTAATCGTGCACTAGAATATTTTTATAAGACAACGGAACTCAAACAGATATTAGAAATCAATCTCTAAGCAGGCATACAGTATATTTCTAACATGTTATTTATTCCATGCAACGCAGAAAAGAAAATTGTTACAGTAACAAGCAGATCACACAGAAAATTGAATACGTAACAATTTTTTCAGAAACCAAAACCTTAAGAAATCGTTTTAATACACAAAAAGTTGCAGATAAAGGTATAAAATAACATGAAGCTTAAAGCGGCCCTATAATCTATTCCCTTCATCATGGGATTCCTAAATAAAGTAAAATGGGCAGCAACAAACTTTTTAACCAATTTTGAACCGTTATGCATAGTACACAACTTGAGTTATAGAAATAAATAAAAAAAAAAAGACAAGGGCTTGGCTGGAATAATGTTGTATTGCACAGAAAGTAAAGGCATCATTATTCTTCACTGGAATAATTTTGTATTTGTACAGAGTAAAGGCATCATTACTCTCACAGAAATGGATGACATGCATTGCAACTGCATTGCCCTTGATCGTGAAGCCATGGACGAGCTGCATGTGCAGTACCGTGTTTTCTTTAGTCCGTTTCCTGCACAAATTGAAATTGTTAAAAATCAGATGTTAGGAAAGCAGAGCAGCTTAAAAGCATTCTCAAATGAAACCAACATAAATTCACAAATCAGTTACTTTATGAATTATTAAGGCCCCTTTCAATCATACTTTTTTCAAATGCTCTTGCATCATCCATATGGTAACATTGCTTGCAAATTAAATTAACAGAGATTTTAGCATGTTGCACATTGCTACTAACCAAATAGTTAAAACTGAACAAACATGCGCAATTTATCAAATTACGTTTAAATCTTCACCACAATCCCTGTTCAGTGTACAACCTTCAAAACAAAAGAAAATTAGAAGCAACATATCGTCCATGTTATCATCCACTGGAACCAAATTAGAGCTTTCCCCTCTAGACATAGCCATGCAACCGTAAACTTCTCCTCCTCAGTCAACCGATTCACAATAAAATACATCTCCACTCGGTACACCCACCCATAAGCATCCTCCCTTTCAAATTTGGCAACTTCAACTTCCTCACCTTAGGATTGCTACCACCCAAATAGCTTCTTCCTCCTCCAGTTTAGCGGTTGTCGTGATCCTACCGTATTTCCCCCATGTATCGAGGGTGGGAATCCCATTTTCCTTCCCTTCTCCTCACATGACCCGATCCCCATGATTCGGCCCGTCCCCCTCCTTTGGTCGTCCACTCCACTTGCCCAAAAGGCCTCCCATAGTGGTCAGCCACCCCACCACCTTCACCACGAAACTCCCTTCTTGCTATCCCCCATCTGATAACTATATTCCGCCCCTTATTGGAGCCCTAGCAGATGGCTCTTGACCCCGTCATTCTCCGACAGCCCACTCCCCTTGCCCAAAATGCCTCTCATACTGGTCGGCTGCCCTACCGCCTTCACCAAAAGATTTCCTCTTTGTTGTCCCCTCATCCACAAACCCTGGTCCACCCCTTATCGAAGCCCAGGAGGTGGCTCTTGATGAAAGAAACTCCCCTCGTCAAACTCCTCTTGTCCGATCTCATTTCCCTTTGATTCAGCCAAGGGAATCCCGGTCAAATCTTGGTTATGGTTAGCCCTAGGAACCACTAGTAAAATGAGGACATCAGAGATCAGCAGCTACGTTCTGAAGTTAATTTTTTTATGTGTTTTATGTACCAGTTTGTTTTATATTTCTGTTTTTTTCCCATTTTACCCCTAGGGGTGGTCATGTGGTGTTGTAGCCCAAAGGGCATTTTATTCATTGTTTCTTTTCTTTTCATGAGGACTATTTATAGGCTAGTTCTATTATATTTTGGGTTAAGGAATGAATATTATGAAAGTTTCTTGCGTATTGTTCTCTTGATGTGAGAGTTTGTGAGTCTTGGAGAAATCCCTATGAGAGAAAAATCGGATCACCCACCAACCTTGGAGATAGTCGGTTTTGTGGTTCTTCTTCCTTACCTTTCTTACGTTTTTCTTTTCTTTCCATTCCTCCTCCATTAAGCCACCTACATATCTATCCAATCCCCTTGCTCCTAGCCACCGAATTCCCTAGCCACACTCCACCTTGCCACCGGCCTCCTTAGTCTCACGCTCACCATCGGCTAGCTCCACCATCATCTCCCCCCCCCAAGCACAACCCAACTCCCTACCCAAACCCCTGGACCCGTCGGCCACCCTCTCATCGTCTCTCCCCTTTTTACCAACCGCGCCCCCAATCACCACCTGAAGACCACGACCTTCTCTCCCCCGCCATCAAGCTGCGGTCTACATATCTCCCTCTTCAAAATTATTTCCTAAAGCTCCACTTTCCTTATTTAACTCCATCTATCTTTGGAAGGAGTTTGAATTTGAAATAATTCAAATATAAATCTCAAATCCTTCCTATGTAATTAATCCTATTTTTGGAAAGGCCATTAATTAAATCAACTAATTCAAATCTGAATTAATTGAGTAATTAATGTCTTAACTCCAAATACATTGAATCTAGACACACACACCCCTCCCTCTCTCTTGACCGAACCCTCCCCTTGCCCACCTCATTATTTATTTACCATAAAATCAGCCCCTCACTTTGGAAATACTTCCAAACCCAGCCCTAGCCTACCCGCCCCCTCCCTCATCCCATAACCTGCTTAAATTTATTTCTAAATCGAGAAATTTCAATTTGGACATTGATCTCAGTTTTTCCCTCCAAGATCCTCTCACAAACCTTAAACCCAATTCCCTCATAATCTAGACTAAACTCTCCCCAAGCCAAAGCGGCAATCCTTGCTGTTATAACTGCTGTCCAAAGGATTCAGCACCAGCCCCTTGCTGTCCTGCACCATTGGAGGTCTGAAATTGCTGTCCAAAAGCTTCCAGCAGCCCATAAAAGCTGCCAAAGGTTTATACAATCACTATAGGGTGCTGTCCAAAATTTCACAAGTGTCAAAGCTATTGTCCAGCAATCGTTGCAATCTCCTATTGTTGTTTTGTTGGCCTTAAAGTTCTGAATGTTGTCCAACCATATCGAGAAGAATCAAGGTTGTTTTCTACTTCCTCTCAAGCACCTCAACACAACACCGGAGCTTCATTTGTCCTGTTTATTTGGGTGAACCCTCCTCCAACTCTTTTATCTTTTAGTCGTTCTCAGTTGTAGTTCTAATTGAATCATGAAAAGTTGTGTTAATTCTTCCTGCTAAAGTCTAATATTTTGTAGAAATTGTGTGAGAGATCTTTCATAGCACAACTCTTATTGTTAGATTAGGGATTTCTTGTTGAAACCTATTTCGTATGCAACGTTAGGAGTAATTGATTGTTATGTTGTTTTTACTTTTCGCAAGTAACTTGGTCTAAGCTTGTGCTTACTGCTCTTTATGTTTTATTTAATTGTTTAACTCACCATAAAGCTTAGTTAACTTGCTCTTAATCATCAAGCGTGCAAAATCCTTAACTAAATCAATTTTTTTTCATATATGTCTTGCATCAGATGATGTATGCAATAATAGATTCATTCTAAAACTTTAAAGTTAAGGTTATCATAAAGGCCCTCCTCATTAACAAATTCATTGAAATAATCATGCAATTTTACTTTCTCCAAAAAAACCTCTTTATCGATTTGTATATCAAAGAAACTAATACCAAAAACAAAATAAATTTAATTTAATTGGTATAAATAATTTCATTCAATTTTTCATTGTGGTAAAAATCAGCTTGTTTAATTGAATTATCAACTTTAGTTGCCATGATTTTTGTACTTTAACATTCAAGGTTTATTTTAACAATTTGCACCTAAAACATATTGGCTACAACAGGCATGATTTCTTTTGCTACATATTTAGGAAAAGATTCATTGTCAAGTCAAAGCTTCAGTTCAAATTCAAGTTCAATGAGAAATTCAATTTCAGACTCAACAATAGATTCAAGTACTAATTAAAAGTTTGAAATAACTGTAGGTTTAATCTCAATTATAAGTTCAAATTCTTATAAAAGATTCACATTAGAATCGATCCCAAACTTAAATTCAATTTAAAAGGCGGATTGTAACTATTTCTCAAGTGTATGTTCATATTCATGAATAAGTTCTAAAGATGGTGCAATTTCAGAATAAAATCAGATGTTGGCTAACATAAAATATCATCTTCTGCATCTAAAACATCTTCAAAAGAGAATTCATGAGAATCATTGCTTCGATAGGATTGATTTGACCATGCATGATTCTTTTGTTGATTTATATTTAGCAGGCATGAACGGAAAAAATAATGATTTATTTATAGAAACCTTAAAATTCATAGATTATTTGGTTTTGTTTTGCTTGAAATTTTTAATTGGTTTTGCAAGTTAATCAAAATTTCATCCTTTTCTATTAATAGACCAAATATTGAACCCCACTTATACTCATTTGAATATAATGCTTGAGAAAAACGGATAATAAATTCCCTTTAAAGACTTTATGATGAGGACATCAGTCAGAGATTTTGACATGTGTATCGTCGACGTAGTCGTGGATCAACGGCTATGATTAAGAGCCTGTATTTTTTATGTATTTTCTGTTTTATGCTTTACGTTTTATGTCGCATTTGAGTTTTCCCGTTTTACCCCTATGGGGAATTGAGTCTGTGTTGTTGCCTGAGGGCACTTTAGCCTTTTTTGTTTTCTTTCATTTGGGCCTATTTATAAAAGGCCTCTTGCATTGTAATGGTTAATGATGTTTATGAATGCCCCCCCCCCCTCTCTCTCTGATTCCCACCCAAGCCGCCGGCCCACCCCCTCTTGCCCAAGTTTGAAATTCAAATTCCTTTGGCCATTATTCACTTTCCTAAAATAAGTCTAAGCAATTAGGAAAGTTATCAAATTGGATTTCAATGAAAGTTTGAAATTCAAATTCTTTCCTCATGCTAAAACTTAAATTTGGAAATCTCTCTTTTTAAATTAAATTCAGATTAGGTTTTAAATATTTCATTAACTCCTATGGCCCACATACTTAACATACTCCCTCTATCTTAGCTCTCTACATGGCCGGCCCCCTTCACTAGCTCTCTCTCTCTCTCTCCAATTTCATTAAATGCTCTCAATTAAGACTCCTTAATCCCCTCCCCATGCCGCCTCCCCTCTCCCCCCAATTTCTCTCTTCCACTTTAATTCTCTCAATTTGAATTTGAATTCAAATTCAAATTCATCCCGCCAATTTCACTTAATCAAAAATTAATTTCATATTTCAAATAATTCTCTCCAATCCAACCTAGATCTAGCCACCCCCTTCCCCCCTCTTCCCCTCTCACACCCTCCTCCTACCCGAGCTCACCCGCCATTCTCCTCTTCCCTTGGCCACCCCTCACAAGTGACGGCTTCCCCTCCACAACACCACGAGATACCAAGCTCTTCCAAGATCATGCATGGCGGATCCGGAACTTGATCACGGATTTGTGTTCAACTCTCAAGGGGATATCGACGTCATCCAATCACCGTTCTTCGAAGTTGGATTCGAATTCGATCACAGCGTTAAGGAATACATCGATCATATCCTCTTCCATCTAGCAGACATCATTGACAAACGACCTACGGCCTACGGGAGAGTGGAAGATCACCGGACGCCAACCCGTTCCTCCAACTCTGGCTCCTTCCCCGGCGACTAGCCCCCTTTGCATCACGTGTCTATTAGTGGCATCCCTAAGCTTGCTTGCAACCTTCTTCCACTAAGCCGATCATTATCAAGAGTGTAAGAGAGGGAACCCAAGGTGAATGATCTAAATTTTAAACTGTGGATTTTGTTACGTGCCATTTGCTCAACTCATTTATTTGATGATGTAATTTTGCGAGTTTCATATTAATCTCTATTGTAATAACTTGTCATTACTTAGTCCTTCTGTGGAATTTCCTAAGATCTAACTTGAATACGCATCCACTTATGTTTAGCCGAGCAAAGTTCACATTTTATTAGTTTCATATAAGCAATCCTTGTTTCACCTTCATTGTATCACATCACTTTAATTGTGGGTGTGATATTCGTAATAAAATGTTCATAATATGCCCTAATATTTAGAGATCTAGATATAACCTCGTCTCATATAAGACATTTAATGAAAAAAATCATGGTAGCAAAATAGTCTCAAGGTAAATGATGTTAAGTTATAATACTCATAAACATATCATACTATCATAGTATTCATACACGATATATTCACCTTGCTTGCAATACTTAATTATTCATGTAGTTCATCCTTAATCCTTATACTAACCAAATAATAGATAATATTGTTTTAAGTTCATGTTTTAGGTCAGCCCATATAGTTTCAGTTTGACTTACGATATTTCTACAAAACGGAGCATGACACACTTGTTCAAATTAGCAGATTCAAGTTGTTCAGGATTAAATAAATGATAATCTTCAAGGGAATATTCTAAATTGCAAATCCACTCCAAAATTTCCACCAGATTGTACCTTCCATCAAATGTAGGTATGCAATTGTGTTCCTCACTATAGTTATGGTGTGTTTGTATAAAACAGTGATTAACCCAATTTTGTGTTAATTGCATCATTTATTATCTTTTTTATTGATTCAATTAATATGTCTTTCTTTTAGTTGACATGATGACACAATGATAAACATTGAAACCAATTTGACGTAGGATGCTTAGATGTTTAGGGTTCACTAATGCAAACTTGGATAAAATGCACAACAAAGGCATACAAAAACAAATACATGCATGTTACTAACTCTCAATTTTAGTAAAAATATTCACTTTTAATAAAAAATTAAAAAAAAAGCTTCTATCATCCCAAACAAAAATGTAATGATAGCAAAAATCTGAAATATGCAAGAAAACCGATAACAAATACAAAATTCTAGCAACAATCAACATTCACAATACGAACAAGAATCAAACATGTGTTAGACTAGACAAAAATTAGTTAACGCATATGCATATCACCAAAACAAGATGATAAATAGTACAAAATTAGAAATCATCCAATAGAAGATCAAACCTCATGCCAATAAGTGAAAATTAGCCACCAAAAGCTTAGATTGAAAACTGTAAAACACTCGAAAAATCCATATCCAAAAGCGCACACCCACACAAATTGAAGAAAGCAAAAAATTTATTTCATCACTAAACATTCAATTTATATTACATGCCTTAGTATTCCCATTTATAAATTAAACCTATTTGAATCCATCAAGAACTAATCAAATACATCAACCTTTAATTCATCATAAATAAATTCCCATAAGTTTACATTTTTTCCAAGTAAAAAATCCCTCAACTTTCCAAAATCAAATAAGTTGCATATGCTACAATGTTAGCTAAAGAAACCGAAAGAAAAAAATACTACAACAGGAAATTTTCAATCGTCTTTTATAGTCCAAGGAAAACAAAGATCATTGGAAAATAGGAAAAGTCATCAATTTATAGTTCCAAGAACATTGACTAAAATTTAGAATCAGTAAATATTATTTAGAATTAGTAATTTTAATAATATTTATTTTTAAAATTCTAATCGAGCTTCTTAGTCAAGCTTTTTAACGAGCTTGTTCACGAGCTCTAAAAGATATTATTCGTAAACATAAGCGAGTCAAATGTCGAGTTGTTCACGCAAGTTTATTTAACTATCGAGTATTTAGTATTAAAGCTTGTTCGTTTATCTTATCAAATGAACATAAACTAGCTCTTATCGAGCCATGTCACAAGTAGCTCGTCAAACTCACAGTTCATTTGCAGCCCTAATAAAAATTTAACAGCTGCAAAAGAGAGATTGTGACATTCCATCTAGCAGCAGGTCGACCAAGCCACTATGATTCCAAAAAGCTGCTCATTGTGCCAAGATAGAGCCGCGTATACAAATTTAAACAAATGCTGGCTTTTAAAAACAAAACAAATTAAAAAGGAAAGATGGTTTGCGTGCTAGCGCGCAAGAAAGTGCGTGTCTGTGCGGATGGAGGCACCGCTACATGAGCTGGAGTTCGTACTAACTAAGGTTATGGGTCCAGCAGCATTGTAGGTTTCCTCAAGATTATAAACCTTAATCAACCTAATTAGCAGGGAAAACATCCATGCCCTCACTAACATCTAACCTTCTTCGATATATCATTCTAAAACAGTACCAAGGATTCAACATTTGCAAGGTAAGGAAGGAACAGCGTAATAGAACCGGAGTAAGAGAGATTTGAGAAAAGCCCGAACCGTTTCGAGATGCGCAGCACCTAGCGAGTCACCGTAGAGAGACAGAGACAGACACACACACACACGCACACAGAGTAACGCCGGCGCAGGCGATTAAGACGGCAACTGAGGAATCTGTTTGGTACTCTCGCTGTTTCACTTCTATGAGCGCCGCCAGGCTTTGGAAAGTCGGATCCTTTCCTCTTCAGATGGCATGGTCGAGATTCACTGCATAAAAATCATTCTATATTTGTGAGGAATCCCTAGATATCCTACAAGTTTGACATAGGGTTTGTTTGGAACGAATTAAGTTTTATAAAACAGATTTTTTTTTTTACAGAAAGTGAAGTCAGAAAATTACTTTCTAAAATTATGTGTATATATATATATTAAAATAAAAATATTTGTATACTAATCCATGTAAATCAGCAGCCAGCCCATGCCCATTTTTTCATCGCAGTTGACAATAGCCTATTGAAACATATTTTAATTAAATGCATAGTTTTTGCTTTTATAAAAATTTTAATGATTAAGTGGTTCAATGTGCAAATACATAGATTTAATAATTCATTTTTAAAAACTTAGCTATGAAGTTTGTATATAAAAATAATTTTGATGGCATGGGCATAAATCTCTCTTTTTCTTTTTTTTTTTTTTTTGGTGGGGGGGAATATCACTTCAAATGTTTGTATTTTCATATTTAAAATCTAAAATTTATTATTTACTCACATAACTCTCAAATTTTTAAATAACATCCTCAGTACCCTCTCCTAATGAATCTTGTCACTAAACTCCTTTTTCTTCTCTTCATTGATTATGTCACATTTGACCAATAATAAACCATCATCTCTTCTTTTTTCATCATAAATCTCATTCTTGAATAAGATCCCATCAGGACTTCTCATTCTTAGTCCTTCACACATCATCCACCTTATTGGTGAGATCCTATTGCAACATCCTTATCTCATCATTATTGTAAAGGGCAACCCTCTATAGTTTCTGAATCGTCATCAAGGGTTTTGGTAAGGAAGTTAATGAAAGTTATCGTAGCATATATTATATAAATAGTAAGGTTTAAATATTAAATATATAAATATGATGTTTTTAAATGTTGTGCTAACTAACTTATCTAGCTCTAGGGTGAATGGTTAGGTTTCACAATTTAAAAAAAAAAATTGGATTTTAGTGGCAGTTATAACCGCCACTAGAGCCCATAAAACTGCCGCAAAGCTGGATATCGGTTGATTTTGCTCATATTTGTTGCGGTTATAACCTAAACAAATTCTGTACATTTGCAGCGGATATAACCGCTGCGAAAATATACACTCAGTAAAAACCTACCCCGCCGGTCTTCGAACCGCTGCGAAATGTCGTTGCAACGCTTTGCAAACACGACGGGTATGTAAAGAAAATAGTGGCGGGTATAACCGCCGGGATAGTAAAAAATTGTGCTGCGAAAACCCATTTTTTTTGTAGTGCTTATAGCAAGTGGGGCCATAATCCATCTCACATATACTTCAGGAAAACGGGGTGAGAATAATACAAACACTGTTATTTAACCCCCTCACCTGCTTCCATCAGGTGGGACCATAAACCCTTCTGCATCTGCCCAAGCAGATGGAGCTCGAAGGTATTGTTAGGGCCCTTGCAATATAATAAAGAGTGCACTTTTTTACATTTCAGGATAGGGTATCTCCAATGCCTTGCAATGTCTTAATAACTACAAATTAAAAAAAATATAAAAGCATAAAGATATAACAATGGGCGTCTAATATGATTAATAAAAGAAAATTGATTTAAAATATAATAATAGAACAATAAAGTCATATTTTTGTCATTATATCGCATAAATAAAAATTTAGGAAGAAACACTACGATGACACTAGCAAGTGAGGTGATGCATGTATGATGCGATTTAGATGGTAACACATGAAATAATGAAATCTTAATAGGCACCTAAATACAACAATGCTATGATACCAAATGATGTGGAACTATATATGTAAGTGATGTTGAGTTGAAAATTACACGTGCTTGAACAAAGCTTAACAATTTATAGACTCACAATGAACTTAAGCAATGACTTCAGCATGTAAGGGGGAAATCAAGTTTACGCAAACATCACATGCTAATGGGAGGACCATTAAATAATGCATTAATTAATAGCATGCTCACGTAGTGTTTCATAGATAATCTCTAAGTTAACAAATAGATTAGTCACTACAAAGGCCCACTCACACAACCCTCTTGATGTGGGCTAAACAGATAAGCTTTGACAATAAAACAATGATACAATTGAGGAGGGATAAAAAAAGGTACAAGGGGGGAAGTGTTTACCCGCATGGAAGAATATACTAAGCCACGGCGAAGTGGTTTGGCTGCCATGTATATATATATTCTATCCTACATCAATTGCCCTCCCAAATCCTTACATAATCCATGTAAATCAGCAGCCAGCCCATCGGTAAATACGGCGTTTGTACCGGCGCATAATGCGAAGCAATATTAACGGCGTTTATTCCGGCACATCTTGCGACGGAAACTTGCCGACGTCCATTGCGCCGATAGTAATGTCAGAAATTAGCAGCTTTTCATTATTACCGGCAGAGTTTACGGCGGAATAATCTGTTAAGAAACGACATTTTGGCTAACACATTTTGCACCGGTAATGCGTCGGAGAGTGCGCCAGAAAGGTTTCCGGAGTCTTATTTTTCAACTCACATCAAACTGACGCACGAAATTCCAACCAAAATGCGCCAGAAACCAAGGATTTCCGTTGTATTTTACGTAATACCGGCAAATACTTTTCGACGGTAATACCGAGTTTTCCTGTAGTGGTAGAGGTAGACCTAAAAAAACTTGGTTAGAAAATATTACAAATGACCTTTCTTTGTTAGATTTAAATGAGAAATTGATTCTTAACATGACACAATGGAGAAAAAAGATTCATGTAACCGACCTTGCATAGTTGGATAAATGCTTAATGTTGTTTTTGTTAATTATCTCTAAATAAAAAAGAATTTTATATCAATTGATGATGAAGTTAATTTATACATATGATTCTAACATCAACATTTAGTAGAATATATGAAAATATGTACTTCAATAATTGAATACAAAAGGTCAATGTACTATATATCTAAAAATGCATGCATTATAAATACATCCCTACTAAAAATGATATATTTATCATTTGATAATAAAAATTATCTACCACAAAATATTTGATATGGAACACCACATTAATTAAGACCTAAATAAATAACACCAAGAAATAATCAATTTGTGGTTTATGACTAAGGGAGATAAGAAGGCTTTGTGACTCATAATTTAGATATTCTTAAATAAATTGTGGCTCAAATTGAATTATACAAGAATTATCATGCACATAGCACCATAAGAAAGAGAAAAGAAAATAATATGTACTTGTGTAAATCAGAGAGAACAAACAAATTGATGATAATGTACTATATAGATTCTATTAATCACTAGCTTAAAGAGATCAATGAAGTGAGTTTGAGGCTTTTCAATATTGTTGAATATTATAACTCCACGTATAGTTGAAACCTTAAAAATATGTATAATTTTCAAGCTCTACTCAATCTTTCTATGCTTCTAGTAAATTTTGCTACGCCCTGGCCCAAAGGCTCATATTAATGAGGAAGGAACAAACGGTTGAATGATTTTTTAAAATTTTGTTCGCTAAAATTTCAAATAACAAATTATTTCCAATACACTAAAAAAGTCACTACAAACTCCCATTGTATTTTAATGAAAATAATATAACTATTTCAAATATATACTTTTCTTTAAGAGCATTGAGTTTATGATACACATTTTCACCTCAATCCCTCATACTGAACATAGACGATGACTGGTAAAGTTTTCAGTTAGTTTAATAAATATACGTAAATTATTTGAATTATATTTTCTATTTGCAGAAATAGTTTCTTGATCGGGAGCCTACACCACTAGAGTTGCATATGATTGAGGACTCACCAACATCAAACTAATCACTAGTGGGTTGATGAGAAGGTTAAAAAAGCTCACGTGAGTATAATTTTTTGAGTAATAAAATAGAATAAAACAAATAGAAATTTATTTTATGAATTTATTCTCGTAGGATGATTTTATATGACTTCGGAAAAGTCAGCAGTCTACTGGTGAGGGATCATCTTCAAGATCGACCTAGTATTCTGAGTATCACACGTGATTAGATGCTGTTGGAGAAAAACAGAGGGGGAGGGTTTACGGCTTAGGTTCGCAAGATTATGCTAATGCGGGCAGTTAATCTACGTCAATATTTTATAATGTTAATAGAGCTGAAGAAACTATTAGCTAGAGGGTTACTGCCCTAACAAGAGATATATAGGAGATGAGAAAAATTCGAAATGAGATCTAGACGGAGGTGGGATCATATCGAGATGAAATTAAATCAGAAGAAGAAAGAGCAAGAGCCAACACCTGAATCACAGGGCAGTGAGGACATGAAGGATAATTAGTGATGTTTTTTGTTTGAAGAACTTTCTGGTGTATTTGGAACATCTGGTTGTGGATTTCATATATTATGTTGATTGTGGAACATATGCATTTTGTTTCCGTTTAAAGAATTGTTTCTGCTTATTGTACGTGGATTGTACAGATATATTTGTTGATTGTGTTTTGTTCTTTCATATGAAATGTTCTGTTGATTTTGGACTCTATTTCCGTGGGTTGAGTATTATGGCTTGTCGTTGCCCTTAAAGGTTCTGTTTTATATATGTTTTAAATTTTGTGCAGGTATTGTGGAAATTGATGTAAATAGAGGGGGCCATCAATTTTTATGTGCAAATGCTACAGGTTTTCGGCGGCTAACCGGTGGTTTAGCCGCCTGAAACTTCAATACCGGACGACTCATTTAGGCAACGGTCTTTAATATAGCCTTCTGATAGACCAACATTTTCTACAGCCGGTAATTAACCGGTGGGCGCTAGTGATTATTTGACCATCGGAATTTACCGGCTATCTATTGGTTGAGAGCTTTAATTAGCTACAAACTAAGAGGTCCTAGTTCGAGTCTTGCATATGTGCTGTTGTGTGTGAGTTCATCTTAATTGGTCTAAATATCCCTTTAAAAAAATATTTCATAACACTTCTTTAAAAAATATTAAAAAAATCAAAATTCTAATAGTTTTAATTGTAATCTTCCTCTTAAAACTACAACAGCTGTTTCATTATAAACGATTAAGAGCCACTTCATTGCTAATTTGTTATATATATCCACCTTACTTTATTTTGCATGCATGAAAATATTTTTTTGTACGTTAAAGAGATAGAA